CTGTAATCTATTCGGCTTTGATTTAGGGCTTCCAATATTGTTTCAAACTCTACAGAATCAAAAGCCTTCTCGTAATCGACAAATGCAAGAACCAGTGGTATGTTGTACTCGTACCTTACAATTACAGTAACCTATATTTTTAGCGATTTTGCGAAAAAATTAATTACTGTGAAGTAAGTAAAATTTCTGATTAACAATGTTTGAATCATTAATTTGTAGAATGAATTAGCAATAAATCAACAGTATCATTTCAAGAACAAAATATGATTGAAATGTCAAATGTTGGTAGTTCAGATTTCTCGCATAGATGGCGTCGTTACCTTACTGGACAAACTGTGTGACTTGTCATCATAGCCAAGGTTATGTTATTGTTTGATTAAAACTACGTTTACAATTTGCGGTTGTGTACCTTGGGCGTCCTTAACCAGGCCTTCGTACAAAATTTCCTGTCTCGTGGTACATTTTCAAAGTATTCGAAACTGTAGATTGACTTCTCCTGAAACATCGTGCGACATCTTTTTGTGTATATTTTTCCTCGTACAAATTACAATCTGTGCTGTTTGAGCTTCATCGCAGTGTCGAATTTTCCTTTACCCTGGTATACTTGTTTTCAACTTGTAACTTTAACATCATAATATTTAACAACACATGTAAACTAAATTTAAGCAATTTTTAACGGGCTTTATCCACATATTTAGTGGCTACATACATGTATACGCATTCTTCAGCAGGTAGGTATTGATGATAAAGACCTACGCATTATTAAAAATCTTTACTGGCATCAACGTGCAAACATCAGGATTGGCCGGGACACTTCTGAAGAGCTTCAAATACGAAGAGGAGTAAGGCAGGGCTGCATTTTGTACCCGCTACTATTTAGCATCTATTCTGAGTTCGTTTTCAATAAAGCAGTGGATAATGTTCAATGTGGTATAAAAATGAATGGCGTCAATATTAATAATTTGAGATATGCGGATGAAACAGTGTTAATTGCAAGCAATTACGAAGAATTTCAAAATCTAATTAATAGGATTATTACAACGTGTGATGAATATGGCCTTAAGTTAAACCCCGCAAAGACAAAGGTGATGGTCGTCAGTAGAACGCCAATACAACCGGAAGTGGTACCAGCTTATGGTGAACAACTGGAGAGAACTAACAGTATCACTTACCTTGGTTATAATCTAAATGAGAACTGGGACATGAACAAAGAAATTAGAATACGGATAGAGAAGGCCAGAGCTGCATTCTTTAAGATGAAGAAACTGTTATGTGGAAACAATATTACTTTAAGTATGAAAATTATATTAGTGGGATTTTATGTATTCTCTACTCTTTGTATGGTGTCGAAGGTTAGACTTTGAAGGATACACTTCTCAAGAAACTGGAAGCCTTCGAAATCTGGATGTATCGGAGAATCCTACGAATAATTTGGGTGGATAGAATTCGTAATGAAGTTGTTTTACATCGGATGGGAAAAGTTACGGAAGTCGTCAAAACACATAAAAATCGCAAACTTGAATATTTTGGCCATGAAATGCGCCACCCAAAGAGATATAATATACTCCATTTAATAATACAAGGCAAGGTAGACGGAAGAAGAGGGCCAGGTAGAAGAAGAACGTCATGGCTTAGAAACCTGAGAGATTGGTTTAACAGATCCTCTGCATCTCTTTTCCGAGCTGCCGTCAACAAAATCGAGCAACAATGCTCGATTATCGAGCACGGCACATAAAGAAGAAGATACATGTATACCTAGAAACTGATGATGGAATATGGATTCCGAAAACGTTTTGTGATATAGCCCGATTGGGTTTTCAAATTATATACCTTTTATAAAGGAGTTTTAATAAAAATTTTTGTGATATATGGTATATAGCCAACTGCAGGAACTTTGAGGATATTAGCGAGACGCAGTTCGGGTTCCGAAATGGAATGGGTACTCGAGAAGGACTATTTGCCATCAACATATTAATTCAGCGATGTCGGGATGTAAATGTTGATCTACACTTGTGCTTCGTTGACTACGAAAAAGCTTTCGATAAAGTAAGACATGAAAAACTAATATCAATACTTATGAACAAGCGCATTGACAGTAAAATCATAAATATAGTGCAAACATTATATTGGAACCAAAGTGCCATAGTTCAAATTGATGGGCAACACTCAGAAGAAATGAGGATCTGTAGAGGAGTTAGACAGGGATGTGTGTTATCATCACTTTTGTTTAACTTATATTCTGAAGAAATTTTCCAAAACACGCTCAATAATATCGAAGCGGGAGTCACCGTTAACGGAAAATTAATTAATAATTTAAGATATGCAGACGACACTGTGATCATAGCAACGAGTATAGAGGATCTACAACATCTTATCGAAAGCTTGAGTATAAATAGTGGAGATGGGAATTACTATAAACGCTAAAAAACGAAGTACATGCTGATTACAAAAAGGCCACAAAATATACATCACCTATTGACAATCAATGGTAACGTGATAGAACAAGTAGAAAAATATCAGTATTTGGGAACTTTGATCAATGAAACCAATGATCATACTGTAGAAATAAACAGACGAATAGAGATTGCCAGATCAGCATTTATACGAATGAAGCCACTCCTAACGTGCAAAAATCTAAATTTGGAGATCAGACTACGTACCATTCGCTGTTATATATTTTCAATATTATTATATGGAGCTGAGACTTGGACATTAAAAAAATGTAATTTAAAAAGAATCGAGGCCTTCGAACTCTGGTTATACCGCAGATTATTGAAAATATCATGGACTGATAGAATTACAAATAAAGAAGTACTGGAGAGGGTTGGTAAAGAAACAAAACTAATCAAAACTATACAAACCAGAAAACTGGAATACCTAGGCCACGTGATGAGGGGACCAAAATATGAAATTTTGAGACTGATAATACAGGGAAAGATTCAAGGAAGAAGAGCTGTTGGCCGAAGGCAGAACTCATGGTTAAAGAATCTACGTGCTTGGTACCAACGCAGATCGATTGATTTGTTTAGAGCAGCAAGTTCTAAAATAAAAATAGCCATTATTATTGCCAACCTCCGTAGGGAGACGGCACTCTAAGAAGAAGAACTTAGATTCCTTGTGGATTTTAAACTAAAAATAACCGAATTACTATGGGTTTTCCTTTACGTGAAAAAGGTTTTTTCTGATAAAATGTATAAAAAAATGATAGGACTTTTGTCCACGAGTTTATATTGTACAGTTCCATTTTTTTGTCAATCAGATTTCCTGTAATTGGACATTGAACGTTGGAAATAAATATCTATCTATCTATGTATCTCTGGTTATACGAAATAATGTTACATTTTCATTCTTGTTTACTATATTCACTATTCCGACTCTTCGACTTCCGAAGTTGGCGCTATGCGAAAATTAAAACAGTACATTGTGCAGTTATTAAATGGCGTATAACGGATTTAGTAGGAATCCAACAAAACTATAACTATTATCTGAATGTTAGTCAAAATACGTTACTTTAAATTCTGTGGCACTTGTGAGTCATTTTATCTAGACTAGAGAATGTTTATCTTTATGTCCATATGAGCTAGACAAATTACCTATTAACACTTTAGTTGACTTCGTTCTCCATCACAGTTTGTAATTATGAAACGAATGATACGATACACACTGTTTGAATTGTGTAATTAACATAAAACTAGAACAATTGTGTTTCCTTTATTGCTGTCAATTCAGAATTGACATTTGAAATTTGGGATCAACACAAAAGAGATTTAAATGCTTGTCAAAAAAATTAATATAGTAAAACAGCATTCCGCAGATACAATCCGTACAGCTAAAATTATTCCTACAGAAACAAACACTCCAAATAACGAGGTTGTCAATTTAATCTACAAGAGTGTCAAAATTTCCACGCATTCTTTAATTTCTACCTTGATTGATTTTCGTAAGTAGTATCAATTCTAAATTGATCTTCTTCTTCGTCTAGCCATTCACGTCCACATCTGAACATAAGCCTCTTCAAGTCTTCCTTTCCATTGGTTTTTATTGTACGCTACTCTAAATTGATCTAAAGGCAAGAAAAAACACTTACATTAGCCAAAAAATAACCATCATGGACTTTGGACAACTAGAAAAAGGTGATTTTCAGTGATAAATCACATTTATTTATGCAGGGATATAAATCAAGTCTACTACACAAAGTGAAGGTGACCTCTGCGACGATATCATATCCAACAAACTGTAAAATCCATTCTACAGAATTGTTTTGGGGTTTTTGACAACAAAAGGCACTGGAAGGTTAGTTGCTATTAAAGGCATGATGAATTATGCCAAATACATTGAAATATTACGTAGAAGGATTGATCCATTCATTGAAACAGCTGATGGAACATTTCAATATGACATGGCTCCTTGTCACAATTTCAAATTGGTCCAGACTTTTATGCGAGAAAATAAAGTAAAAGGGCTTGATTGGACTGGGAATTCTCCAGACCTAAATCCAATTGAGAACTTATCGCATATTCCTCAAAAAACGTTTAACTCAGATGAATTTCACTACAAAATAGAAAATGCTAGGTGCTATACAAGTGGTTCCACGATGATGAAGTAGAGAACATGTGTACGAACATCTGGCGCAAAAAATAATAAATCACAATAAGAATATTTAAAAAACTGCGAAGAAAAACCAAAGTTTATGCCCTGTTTCCTGTGACTCATCAAATAGAATATCACAATTCGGTAATAACTCATATGGACATAGAGGTGTTACTGTCACTGAGGTAGGTGTTAATTTACAATCCTACAAACCTTTTTACATTTGGCTTTAAACTTTCAATATTTAACTCAATCATAAGTTCAAATTATTTTAATCTTAAAGTCTACTAAATGAAATATCATCAAAACCCATGTATCTTGTCACAATATATGAATTAAATATTAAAAGCTGTCCGATCAGTCTTATGTTACAAATACATCCTTTGTACAAATTTTACAAATAAACTATGCTAATGCGATGCGAGATCTTTTCGTCTCCACCACGGAATACCTGGTTCTTCAATAGTCGGAGAATTCCTTTCCGTAGGTCGGAGAGGTAAAGGCCGATTTTCGATGGAGTGGACTTGTGGCAATCGGGAGCTCCTAAAATGTAATTATCTATTAATTAAAAAAAAAGAGGTTAGTCTTCGTAAATGGGTATATTTATTTAAAAACCCCTTAAAAGGGCTACATAAAAAAACAAACGTTTTCGGACTAAACAGTCCATCATCAGGTTTAAAATTGCCTAAAATAAGTATAAACCATTTAGTTAAAGCAAACGTGGTTATTTTTAAATTTTGACTAGGGTTAAAAAGCAAAAATGGTTATACTTACTAGGTTAAAATGCCTGAGCCACCAAAATACCAGGGTAAAAACCCTTTAAATTACATGTAGTTATTAAAGATTGTACATATTGTTGTTATTAAAATGTGATGTTAAATATTAAATTGAATTTGACTTCCGGTAACATGCTTGAAGTGAGTTCCAGTGTCCGGAGAGTAAACCTCTTCAAACGGACTACAGCTGGTAACTGATTGACAAGATACCTATGGACGGTGTCGAAAACAAAATGTCAATGTAACATGAAACTATATTAGTTATACATAGTATTACTGCTACTACTGATGATGATGATGATATTAAAAATAATAACAGCAATCCAGGTGTTGGGATTTAAAAACTTTTTATTTATTAATGTAGGGTATAAAAGATGTGGAATTACCGTTGGTGTTAAAGTCATGTTTAAGAGAATGACATGTGCATTAGGCAAACCTGTTACTTTTTGTCGTATGGAATGTATGTAATGGAATGGTAATTCCACATCTTTGATACCCTACATTAATAAATAAAAAGTTTTTATCCCAACACCTGGATAGCTGTTATTATTTTTAATATCATGGAAAAATTTTTTTTTTTTGAATCTTTTGGCTGCAGTAATACCATGTATAACTAATATAGTTTCATGTTACATTGACATTTTGTTTTCGACACCGTTCATAGGTATCTTGTCAATCAGTTACCAGCTGTAGTCCGTTTGAAGAGGTTTACTCTCCGGACACTGGAACTCACTTCAAGCATGTTACCTGAAGTCAAGTTTAATTTAATATTTAACATCACATTTTAATAACAACAATATGTACAATCTTTAATAACTACATGTAATTTAAAGGGTTTTTACCCTGGTATTTTGGTGGCTCAGGCATTTTAACCTAGTAAGTATAACCATTTTTGCTTTTTAAACCCTAGTCAAAATTTAAAAATAACCACGTTTGCTTTAACTAAATGGTTTATACTTATTTTAGGCAATTTTAAACCTGATGATGGACTGTTTAGTCCGAAAACGTTTGTTTTTTGATGTAGCCCTTTTAAGGGTTTTTTAAATAAATATACCCATTTACGAAGACTAACCTCTTTTTTTGTGATACGTAGTATACAGCCAACTACAGGAATTGTTTTCCTTGTGGATTTTATCTATTAATTACTTTTTGAATAAAATACAAGATTTATATACAGGGTGATTAATTACTGTTAAAGCTCAGTAGATTCGCTATAATATTAGATAGCAATAAAAGTTAATAACGAAAATTGTAGGCAACTTTGAGTTTCACATTAGTGAACAAAATTAGTTAGAATGTTACACTTCAGATGGCATCCTACAACGTCCGGTGGTCAAGATCTGCCCACTACCTATTTGTTAATAACTATCTTTTTTCTAAATAGAAACAGGTATTTTTAATACATCAGAAGCGTTTTGGAGGTATTAAAAAAACTAATACAAGGCGCCATCTTCAACGAGCTCTAGCTCTTTTATGCAGCATTTTGGGACTTAAAATTATCTGAGGTCTTCGTTTGTCAGGAGAGTTTCTGGACACCCTGTATAGTACTCCCTACTAGCATTAACTTACCTGCTAAGTGAAACATTCCATCCCGCAACTGGTTGGTGTAAAGGATTACTCCTCAAATGCAAATTTTCCATGGGAATAGGAGCTCTTTTTGCCATTTGTATAGCTCTTTTTCTCTTTCTAGCCGTGTTTCTAGCATCGTACTGAATGCCAAGCAATAGTCCACAAACAAGACTAAGAAGAATTCCTATGTACATGAGAACTTGTAAATTACGAGCCGCAGATTTCCTCAGCACCATGCCGGCTATATACAATGATACTCCTATCAAGATGCCCATGGTAAAAATTAACTAAAAACAAATTTATAATAAAAATGGTAAAAATACTTATGTTAAAAATAAATATATTTCTGTTGTATATCATTATAGAACACGTTTCGAAACAGAGTTAAACAAAAGTGCGGGAAAAGAGAAGCGCAGGTGGAAAAATGTTCAAAAAAGAAATGAATAGTTCTAGCGAACCAAGAACAAATGAATCAACTATTATTCTTTCGTTCTTCTGCTTTCTGTTAAAAATGTTAAAACATAACTGAATTAGTTCTCGTTTAGATCAAGAGAGCTGACGGTTGTCACCAAAACTTGTTAACGTCCTGCATTAAATATTCATTATAAAGAAAGAGACTGGTTTTAGAGCAGCATGTACTAGCCAAGAACTTAATCTCACCCAGTACATCGAGGACGGATATCAAGAGAGATTAATTAAAGACTGGAGCCGTATTCATTGATCTAAGAGCCGCATATGATACGATTAACCATAAAATACTAATGAACAAAGGAGAGCTCTGGTGGGGCTCTTTCTGTGTTATCGAACCTAGGTGACTCGTTACGCCAAAGTATCTCCAGTATTATTATTATTATCCAGATTTAAGCCCTACAGCTGTCTTCTTCTTCACGTGCCATCTCCTCTAAGAAGGTTGGCAATCATCATGGCAATTCGCACTTTCGACGCCGCTGCTCTAAAGACGTCAGCAGAAGTGCAGTTAAACCAAGCTCTCAAATTATTCAACCAGGAGATTCGTCTTCTTCCGCGACTCCTTCTACCCTATATTCTTCCTTGCATTATTAATTGCAACAAGTTATAACATAACGCTCGCCCCTCATAACATGTCCCAGATATTACAGTTTTCTGACTTTAACTGTATTTAAGACCTCTTTATCTTTTCCGATTCTTCTCAACACCTCGACATTCGTAACTCTATCTACCCAACTTATTCTTAATATCCTTCTGTAGGCCCATAACTCGAAGGCTTCCAATCTGTCCGAAACTTCTTTCTTTAAAGTAAAAGCTTCAAACCCATACAATAATACGGAGAACACGTAGCAACTCAGAAGTCTTATCTTTAAAAAAATTGAAATGTTCCTGCTGCAGAGTACTTTTTTTAGTTTGTTGCAAGAAATTATTGCCTGTCCTATTCTTGCCTTAATCTCTTCTGTATACTCATTATTTTCATTAATTATTGTACCCAGATATTTGTATTTTTCAACTTTTTAAAGCAGATTTGATCTAGATATCCTTGGGATCTCAGAAACCTGGTGGCCTGGAACCGGTCAATGCACTACAGAAAGCGGAACATTCTTTTACTCAGGCAATGATGACCGCGATCGTAGAAAAGGCGTCGGGATTATGATAACTAAAAGATTGGTGAGAGCTGTCACAGAGTTTGTACCATATTCCGACCGCACAGCCTTAGTAAAACTTGAAGCGAAGCCAAATAATCTCAACATCATACAGGTTTATGCACCAACTACAGACGCATCAGATGAAGTAGTGGAAAACTTTTATAGTGAAATCAAAGAACTGCTTAAATTGACAAAGAAACATGATGTCAACATAATTATGGAAGATTTTAATTCCAAAATAGGGAAGGGCAGCTTTGAGGATGTAGTTGGACCCTATGGTCTTGGAACAAGGAACGAAAGGGGCAACCGACTTATACAATTTTGTCAAGAAGAAAATGAGAGTTACCAACACATGGTTCCAACTCCAGCCCCGTCGCCTTTATACTTGGAAATCTCCAGCCGATAGAGCTCAGAACATAATAAGAAATCATATAGACTTCATTCTTGTCAACGGTAGATTCAGCACAACTGTCAAAAGAGCTTGCACATACCCTGGAGCAGATGTCCCTTCTGACCACGTACTATTAGTGACCGTCTTAAAGATCGCTCTTTCATGCAAGAACAAGCCTGAAACTCAACAACAGATAGCACTGGATAAACTGAAAGACCCAATGATACAAGTAGAAATAAGCAATAAAATAAACGCACAAATTCAAATATTGACGAGAAACATTACCGAAGATCTAACACCAATATGGAATACGATTACAAGTGCTGTAACAGACATCATGAAAAACAACTTAGGGTACAAACGAAATAACAAGAGGCAACAATGGATGACAGAAGAAATACTATTACTAATGGAAGAACGACGAAGACACAAGAATGATCAAGATGGCAGCAATATGTATGAAAACTTTAACAGGCAAATAAAAGCAAAAATAAGAATAGCAAAAAATGAATGGCTTAAGCAACAAGGTATCGATCTAGAACATTTACAACGACAGCACGACTACCGTAATTTACATAAAAAGCTTAAGGAGACTGCTGGAATATACAGAAAACAAAGACCAACTACCATAGTTAATCAGGATAACCAGATAGTGCTGGGTGAAAAGGAGAAAATTGATATATGGGAAAATTATATCCAGGAGCTCTTCCATGACGAAAGACCCATGAGAAGTTTATACAGACGACCAGCTGACTGGCCCTTCGATCACCAAAGAGGAGATAGAAAAGGCAATATTGAATTCAAAAAACAATAAGGCACCTGGACCAGGTGAAATCCCGTCAGAAATACTCAAATTACTAGATGAAAGGGGAATTTCAGCACTACACAAAATATTTAATTTAGGAAACTGGCTGCTATCCTCAACAGTGGTTACGCTCTACCTTTATTCTCCTGTCCAAGAAAGTCAATGGAAAAAGATGTGAGGATCACAGACCCATTAGCCTGATGAGTCACACTTTAAAGATATTCTTAAAAATACTACATCAAAGATTATACAAAAAATGTGAATGGGACATCAGTGATTCCCAGTTCGGGTTTAGGCAAGGTTTAGAAACACGAGAAGCAATAGTAGCAACACAGGTGCTTGTCCAAAATTGTTACGATCAGAGGAAGGATGTGTTCCTATGCTTTTTAGATTACCAAAAAGCGTTTGATCGTGTCCAACACCACAAGTTAATGCAGATTCTCAAGAAAGTTGATGTAGACTAAAAAGACATAAGATGCATTGAAAACTTGTACTGGCATCAAACGGCACAGTTAAAAATAGACAATTCTATATCCAAACCCTTACATATAAGAAGAGGCGTACGACAGGGATGTGTGCTCTCCCCTCTTTTATTTAACATTTATTCGGAAGCCATATTTCAAGAGTCTTTGGAGGATGCAGAGATGGGAATCAAGGTGAATGGAGTATTGATCAACAACATACGATATGCTGATGATGGTGTCTTAATTTGTGACAACATAGTCGATCTTCAACAACTTGTCACTATAATCGAAGAATACAGTAAGCGAATGGGATTAGAGATTAATACCAAAAAGACCAAATTCATGATCATCTCCAGAAACTTGGATGCACTTGAAAACTCCATCATAACACTGAATACTAAGTCCATTGAAAGAGTGAGTAAATTTAAATACCTGGGATCGTGGCTTTTTGAAGACTGGGCATCGGACAGGGAAGTAAAATGTCGCATTGAGCAAGCTCGACAAGCTTTCGTAAAATTCAAGAAGGTACTGACTTGTTCAGAGTTCGATCTTCAACTGAGACTAAGGTTTACTAAGTGCTACGTATGGTCAGTGCTGCTGTATGGCGTAGAGGGCTGGACACTCAAAACGAGGGATATAAACAGATTAGAAGCTTTCGAAATGTGGCTTTATCGCCGTATCCTAAAAATACCATGGACAGCGAAAATCACAAATATAGATGTCCTTAAAAGAATAAACCAAGAACGCCAACTTTTCGAAACCATCCAGAAAAGGGAAACGGCGTATCTAGGTCACATCATGCAAAATGAAAAATACCAGTTCCTCCAACTTATAATCGAGGGTAAAACTAAAGGCAAGAGAGGAATGGGACGCAAGAAAATGTCCTGGCTCCGAAACATAAGGCAATGGACAGGGATTAACGACATACAATCTCTGATACATATTGCAAGAAATAGAGAATTAATGGAAAATGTGATCGCTAACATCCATTAGTGGATTTGCATCTGAAGAAGAAGAAGAGAAGAACTTTTTTAATTTGTTCTTCATGTATTGTTATGTTTTCTTGGCGCTGTTAGGCTTTTGTAATTACCATAAATTGTGTATTTTTTGTGTTTAGGGACAGTCCGTTTTCTTCACTGACTTCTAGCACTCTGTTAACCATTCTGTCAACATTAGAGCTGTTACTCCCTCTAAATCAAAAATTCACTGATTCCAGATACCTACGGTATCAAAAGAATTTGTTGACTAAATTATTATTTACATTTTTAATATTTTAAGTCTACATTATATAACAGCAAATTAAATCAAAACAAAAAAACCTCTATTAATGCTGTTTGAGCCACAGAAAAAATCACAAAAAGAAAATATTGATCTGGTTATGAAAAAGATTTTATGACAAATTTTAACTGACGAAAATTTACCATCACAATACACTCGATGATCTTTTGCATCGGTTATTAAAGAATGAGAGCACAAAGATTATGAAACTGCTACCGCTGATCAAAAGTAAATTGTTTTGTGTTTTGACAAGAAAAATGATTATTATATTCAGATAATGTATAACTAAGTTTCCGCTTTTCACATAGTTTCAAAAGTTAAGCATCGTATTTACCAATTTTATACTTTTTTAAATCCGTATCCTTAACACATAATAATAGGCATTTTTTTGTACAAAATACACCTTTTTCGATTTTATTTTATTTAAGTACCTATTTAATTGGTCTGGTTTGGCCAAAGTGTAAACATATTTTCTGGGAAAATTTGTGAAAACGTGATTTATAATGAATCGTAATTTAATTTCCGAACCAGACTGTGCAATGATTATCGCTTTAGTTTAGTTTAGGCCATTCACAGCGGTTCGTGGCGGAAAGAGTGAGTGTTTCTCAGAGTGATGTCTCACGGATATGGAATAGGATTCTGGAGAAAAATACAGAATACAGAATAGAGCTCGTTCTGTTAGACCCCGAGTTACCAATGAACAACAGAATAGATATATCAGAATTTCTATTTGGCCAAAAATCTTCTATGTCTGTACCATCCCTCCTCAGCTACAACCTAAACATATTTTGCACCGCATCCAGTGGGCTCAAGAACACATACAGCTGCCGCAACAGTTTTGGAATTTTTTGCCTTTTTTAGACGTGGCCAGAACCTGTATAAACAGTGATAGCCGGCGAATTCGTGTAAGAGCTGCATAACTAGCACATGCCCGTCCCATACTTTCTTTGTTGGTGGCAGTGTTATGTTTTGGGCAGGTATTGTGGCAGGTGGATGCATTGAAGGGACTCTTAACAGAACAAAGATACATCATAAGAATTTTAGAACCTCATGCGAGATTACGGCGAGAAGCTCTGGAAAAAAAATTTGGTATTTATGAATGATAACGCCTGCAGACGTAGGATCCACGCGGTTAATGACTATATAGAGACTAAAAATATTTACCGTTTGAAGTGGCCTACGATGTCTCCAGACATGAACCTCATTGAACATGCATGGGATGTACTCTCCAGAGCTGTTCGTGCCCGAAGGTATTCTCCTAAAACCCATCATAAACTTACAATTGCCTGAAGAGGAAAATTGGAGAAGCTGTCACAGGAAATTATTGATTGACTTGTTAGCAGTATTACAGCTCGAATCCAGGCTGACATCAATGCCCGTTTTGGAAATACATGATATTAAACATGATAAATATATTTTAATTAAATAGAAATAGGTAACATTTTTAGATTTTAATTTTTATTTATAAAAAAAAACAATATCTCTTTTAAAACAAAAAAAATTAGGTCAACGTTTATTCAACGCTTTTTTATAAATGATCTATAATAGTAGTTTCTGAAAATAGTTCATAATATCGAATATTTTGGGTGATCCATAACTTTTGAAACTATGTGTATTTTATGTTTATGTCTTTGGTCTGTTTTTTAGTTCATTTATTGTAAAGCGGAACAGTTTTTTTAAACGGAACCTCTCATAGAAACAGTATTAGTGTTTGATACTTACTTGTAGGAAAAAATAACAAACGTTCTCAAAAGTTTGGCACCTTCCACCACAGCCGTGAACTATTGCACTCGTAACACCTGAACTCATAGAACTCTGGGGTCTGTCAGATGATCTAGTAGGTATCCCCCTAGGCAAATTATTTACAGGTATGCTATCACATCTAAAACAGAAACAAATTCAGTTAGTAGAATATTCCTTTAGTAATTTAATACGATATATATTTAAATCAATGATAAATTAAACTTACGGAGTTGGTATTTCTTGATATAGTTGATCCCAGTTGGGCTCTGGATTAGGATACACTTTTCGCAAATCTTTCAGGTTTAGAGTTTGATTGGGCCGTCTATCAGGCGATGGTTTTGGTCTTTTAAAACTTCTATCCGATGCCGTAGTTCTTGAGTATCTAAAACATAATGCGCTATATATTTTTGAAAGATTTCCACCGATGTAACAGAATACCATCCTAACCTATGCTCTCTCATGTTAGTATCAAATGGTGCTCCGTCTAGACTTTCCCTAATATACTCATTCTTAATTTGGTGGTGGATCCAATTAACTGCCATCTACAGTAACTCATTAAATTTTTAAAATAATAAACTTCTTCTAAATGAAGACACTGTGTACTGCCCCTTTGGTAGTCACCTTGTTTTTTTCTGTATCTCAATATATTCGTTATATCTTCTCTTTAATTAAACACATCACATGCTCCAATCGGCCCAATAACAACTTATATATGATGTAATGCCCTATTGGCAACGCCGGAATGTGTGTTTTCTCTCTCTAAACATATTCGCTACCCGCTCTCCTTTCTACCCCCACCACAAAACACTCAGTTTGCAGAATGAATTGTAATAAATCAACCGCATCGTTCCAAGAATAAAATATGATTGAGATATCAGTATTTAGTTCAATTTCTTTCCTAGGGGGCACCATTAGTTATCGTACCGGACAGTGTGCGTTGTCCTAGCCTTTTATATAAATATATACTAGAGACAAAAATATGATAAAAGATCTTGAAAAAAAAAAAACACCCAGAAGACAGATCCGAGAAGTAGAATTTGTCGAAGTAGTGGGTTAATAGACAGTATGAACCTTAGGGAAATAGAATTCGTCCTTAATATGAAAAAACAATAACAAGTAGAGGTGAAGCTGAACAGAAAACTAGATACATTATGCTGCTACGAAGCGACATTGGCACATTTAAAATAGTACATTTAAAATTAATTAAATGAAAAGTTATTAAAGATGAGAGAGATTATGATGGAAGTAAAAAACGTCCAAAAGTCTAGCAAATGTGACTTGATTATTAAAGTAAGAGGAGGAAAAAGTAATACGATAAGGCTTAAAGAGGTAATAGCAGCAGAAAAAGGTGATAGTAAACTTATAGCCAAAGAAGAAGGGAGACGAAAGCACTGCACATCCTGAGTATATACGCAGTTACCATAAAAAAGAAATAAACGAAACTGTAAGACAATCCTTAAATGTAACAAATGAGATGTTTACGCTAACATCCATAGGAGAAACATCACAAATATAACGGGCGTGGCAGAAGTAAATGCATTTATGCACTTGGGAAAAATAAAAGTAGGCTGGCTTGTTTGAAGAAAGCTGCTTTCGATGCGGAAGACACGGACATAAAGCAAAGGTTTGCCCAATAGAAAATAAATAATACTGTCATGGGTGTAAGGAGCATGAACATACAAATAAAACAACAAAATGCCCGGATCTTCGCATGTTTTTAAGCAAAGAAAGAGTTATAGAACGGAGAATAATCTCGCAAACATTAATAACAATGAAAATTTTGCAGATAAATCTTGGCAGAAGAATATGCTCATGATATCATGAATATAACGACACTAAACAGACAAATACATAAATAAGGTTTATTCAGAACTCACAGTTATGAGTAAACCTAACACAAGAATACTACAAAAGGAGGACACTTACTTGTCGTTGACAAAAACGGTGACACGGCAATTAAAATATTAAAAAGAACTATTAGTACGGAAAAATAAAGAGTAAAAGCTGCTGCTGGATAAATGTCGGCAATTATAAAACCTACGTGTTATTTCTTCCAAAATAAAACTATAAGCGAATTTGAAGTTTATCTTCAAGATCTGGAACAAGACATAAAGCACACCAAAAATAAATTGATACTAGCAATATATTCTAACTCTAAGTTGTATAACCCTTTTTTACTTTTCTTTTTGAGAGAAATTAAAAAAAAAAAAAAGAAAAGAAAAAGAGGCACCAAAAGATCGAGAACGACTTGAGGTTCAGTCAGGAGTTAATATGCCCCCAAAATAATTAATTGCTGCACTAAAAGAAGCCTGCGATGCTTGCATGCAAAAAAAGATTAAATACACAAAAAAGAAATGTACTGGTGGACAGATGAGATAGCTCAGATGAGAAGAGAGAAGACCTGCAATAAAATAAGTGGACAGATAACAAGATAGAAAACAAGGAATGTTGTTTAATGACCTCGCAGGAGAAGACAGAGCCCTAAAGTCTACTCAAAAGAATATAAGGAATCTGCTCGAATTAAAAGCAAGGCAAATAAATGGAACAAGAGGTAAAGACAGTTAAGATTTGATTTCACGTATAAGGCGTCTGTATATCCGCTTATACGTATTTCACCCTAAAAGGGATCTTTAGAGCGGCTATTCACAGACGCTCTGAACGTGAAAATAAGTATTTCCTGTCGTAGTAGAAGCAACACTAACATGGCTTCGTATGGACACAAATAGCGACATCTGATAATAAATCCGTAAACTAATTTTTAAGATCCCTCTTAGGGTGAAATACGTATAAGCGGATGTACAGACACACTATACGTGAAATCAAATCTTAACTCTCTTTACCTTTTATTCCGGTATACTCTTTATGAGTACTAGAAACCAGTTCGCTAATGATTTTTGCTTAGTTGAGGAGGTCTGTTGTGGAATGCAATTTTAGATTCCCCATGTCTATAAAAACATCTTTATTAACGTATGTTTTGCCTTGCAAGTCTTAGAAGGCACAGATTAAAGCAGAAATCTGAATTTTGTTTCAAAAAATGAATGGAACAAGATTTTCTAGACAGTGGAAGAATATGTATAAGGAAAAGCCTAGAACATTGTGATAGGGCAAATTAAGCTTACGTCTCTTAGTATTCCCGTAAAAATCAAAAAAGAAACAATCAAGGTATTATTTTCAAAGCAAGGACTACATGTGGATACAGCTTGGAAAAATATCAAAGTAGCTCTGACAAGCGTATCAGATGAAATACTAGGACACAAAAAGAAAACAACAAAAAAATGGTTCGATGATGATTGCCTGAACTCCATATTAGCAAGAAATATGGCTAGAAGGAACATGCTACAAAGCCCCTCGCACAACAACAATGAAATGTATAGACAAAGAAGAACAGAGACAAGAAAACTAATGAAAAGGAAGAAGAGAGAGTATCAGGAACAAATAATCAGAGAAATAGAAGAAAAAAGAAAGAACAAACAAGCGAGGTAGTTCTTTAAAGGAGTTTCAGATATCAAGACCGGGTACCAAGCAAGAACAGGAAACTTTCTTCAAAACGACAGTGGACAGCTTATCACTGATGACAAGGAAATCTTAAAAACCTGGAAGGAATACTTCTATCAACTATTGAATGACCAATCTAGCAGAAGTACATCAAACATAGAGGTACATACAGCTGAAATAGAAGACCAATACCCGACATACGAAGAAGTAATACAGGCAATTAAAAAACTCAAAAATAATAAGACACCAGGTAGCGATGGTATACCCGCAGAGTGCTTAAAACATGGAGGAGAAGCATTGTACAGTTCGATATACAAGCTAATTCAAGACATTTGGCAAGAAGAAACAATGCCAGATGAATGGAAAGAAGGGGTTATTGTACCAATACACAAAAAAGGAAACAAAAAGCAATGTATTAACTACAGGGGAATAACACTCCTAAACACCACCTACAAAATCCTTGCAAACATCCTGCTAGAAAGAACCAAAACATATACAGAAGAAATTGTTGGAGATTATCAATGCGGATTTAGACCGGGCCGCTCTACAATTGACCAGATATTCACAATAAAACAGATAATGGAAAAATGCGGGGAGTTTGATCGTGAGCTTCATCAGATGTTTATAGATTTTAAACAAGCATTTGATAGAGTATGTAGGGACAGACTGTGGACAGCGATGCAGGAACTTGGCTTTCCAAAAAAACTAGTCCGGTTGATACGGATGTGTATGGAACGGTTACGATGTAAGGTGAGAGTTGGACAACAATACTCGGAGACATTTGAAATAAACAATGGACTAAAACAGGGAGATGCACTTTCACCACAACTCTTCAACTTAGCTCTGGAGCACATAATCAGAAGTGCAAGAATCGAAAAACCGAATACAGTATTTCATCGAGAAGGACCAAACTTACTACTGGCATTTGCAGACGATATAGATCTAATAGGAAACACGCGATTAAGGATGAAGGAGACTTTCGTAAGGTTTGAGAAGGAAGCAGAGAAGATGGGGCTCCAAATCAACGAAAACAAGACGAAATATATGTATATGAGCCGCAATAACCAAAGCAGAGACAGAATCGGTCAGAACATTACCATCGATGACTTTAACTTTGAGCGCGTTAGGGAATTCAAGTATCTTGGAACAACAATAACTGAAGACAATAACGGATCACAAGAAATAAACAACAGGATTCAGGCCGGCAACAGATGTATTTTTGCCCTCCAAAACCTTATAAAATCAAAACAACTAACACGACGTACGAAGATACAGGTCTATAAAACAATCATACGACCCGTTGTGATGTATGGAAGCGAAACGTGGACGATGACAAAGGCAAATGAAGAGAGACTACGTGTTTGGGAAAGAAAAATCCTAAGGAAGATCTTTGGTCCGGTGCTTGATGAAACATCAGGACAATATAGGATAAGAACTAATAAAGAGCTTGAAGAACTTTACCCAGACGCCAACATCATAAAAGAAATAAAGTCCAGAAGACTCCAATGGGCAGGACACCTCAGAAGACATTCTGACGAACGAACAGTAAGACTGGTGTGGCAGGAAGTCCCAACTGGAAGGAGACCACGCGGACGCCCTCGTCTCCGGTGGCGAGATAATATAGCAGGAGACCTAAGCACTATGGGCGTGGAGAATTGGATGGAGGTTGCTCAAGACAGAAAACAGTGGAGGCATGTTGTCGAGTCGACTAAAACCCACGAAGGGTTGTAACGCCACGGAGTAAGTAAGTAAGGACTACATGGATACAAGAGTTTTAAGAAGCCGCTAACGTAACAGAAATTACCATAGAAAAGTCGCTAAATGATGCAAGAATATTAAATAATAATAAAGCATACTAAAGCAAAGGGATACGAAATAGAAAGAGCTTTAAAAGAACTAAAAAATAATAAAGCTCCAGGACACGACGGTATAATTGCCGAGCTCTTGAAAACAAGTAACACATTAACAATCTCTGTACTAACAGAGCTATTTAATAGATGTCTCCATAATAGCCAGATTCCTAAAGACTGGAACGAGAGTCTATAGTAAAATTCATTAAGCGGTGCAGGAAAATATAAACATTAAATCGTGTCCGAACCGGTATGAACCGCCGATAACATCGCCAGACGAAATAAAGATGGACATTCCGGTTAGTTTTTAAATATTTTTGAAGAACTGTTACTGGCATTTATGCATAAAATATTCATTAATTTTATAAATCGGAGTATTTTTTCACTTACTTTGTATTTAGTGATAACATTAATTTATTTACTATGCAATAAACACGAATATTTGAGAAAAGAAAAAAAATAATAAAGTGTCATAATTATACTGTTACTTATCGGAACGAGTAGACTCATTTGGAACATCTTTAACAATTATCTGTTAAATTTATCGTTGTTTATATGCCCTGCACCGCTTAATGGAATAAGGTATAGTAATACTCTTACACAAAAAAGGGGACAAATGTGATCTACAGAATTAGAGACCTATATCGTTGCTCAGTCAAGTATACAAACTATTTATGAGAATTATTAATAACCGGTTAACCTACAAAATGGATAATTACCAACCGGTTGAACAGGCTGGCTTCCGCAAAGGATATAGTACATCAGACCATCTGCTGGCAATGAGAACATTGATATAGAAGGCAAATGAATACCAACTACCCGTATTTCTTGCCTTCGTCGACTATGAAAAGGCGTTTGATAGTATCGAGATGTGGGCCATAGAACAAGCTATTAATAATTTTAGAATAGACTCGAGATATAGGCAACTAATACATAATATATATGAAAATGCAACTATGATAGTACAACTAGACAAAAATACAAATCCCATCCCCATTAAGAGAGGAGTGAGACAAGGAGACATAATATCGCCAAAGCTTTTCAACCTAGCCCTAGAAGACGTCTTCAAAACTACAAATTGGTCAACCTATGGCATTAACGTTAATGGCAACAAGTTAAACCACCTCAGATTCGCTGACGACATAATGATTATAGCGAGCACATTCGAGGAACTGCAAATTATGTTGGGGGAACTAGCTCCCAATACGTCGGCCTAAAAATGAATATGAAAAAAACAAAAATAATGACAAACACAGAAGACCCCAGACATAAAACTATAAACGGCAGTGAGATAGAACAAATCCAGGAATATATCTACCTAGGCCAAATCATGAGACTTGACAAAGAGAACCAAAGTGCGGAAATTACTAGAAGAGCAAGACTAGCATGGGCAGGATTTGGAAAACTTAGTTGGTTACTTTAGAACCGCAAAATACCCCAATACTTGAGGAGCAAAGTGTTCAACCAATGCATCCTTCCTATCATGACATATGGATGTCAAACCTGGACCCTAACCAAGGCAAACATGAATAAACTAGCCACAACAGAAAGAACAATGGAAAGAGCAATGTTAGGTATACGACTGTCAGATAAAAAGAGGAACGACTGGGTAAGATTCAAAACAAAAGTCGAGGACATAACAATAAAAATTGCAAAACTTAAATAGAGCTTCGCGGGCCACACTGCTAGACAGAGAGACCAACGTTGGAATACTACAATACAACATTGGAGACCTTACGAAAGTAAACGACCAAGAGGAAGACCACAGATGAGATCGGTTGATGACATTAGAAAAATAGCCGGAACAAATTGGAAATATGTTGCTCAGGATAGAGACCGATGGAAAGAGTTGGGAGAGGCCTATGTCCAAACATGGACGACAGCAGGCTAAGAAGAAAGCATTAGGTGCAGATAAAATATCTGCTAAAGTTACAAAAATTATAGTTGAGGGGTTTCCAAGAGAAATCACTATAAACAAGATGTGTCTCTAAAGTACTATGAAAGACACAACCTTATACCAGAGGTAACGGAAATTCCAGTGGTAATTTGGATTAACCGATAAATCTCGGAGGTACTCTAAGGCAAAAATAACAGATATTCGAGGAAGATAATCAGTGTAGTCTGCAACTACTGTAGATGAAACGCCAGGAAGAAATAAGCATAGACCACGGACTGTAAATTCCGAAAACAATAACCATTGCAAAAAACGATCACGAACGTCTATACTCCTTGAATTGGATTAGAATATAATTTAATTACAGTAAAAATAATTGTAACAAACATAATAATGCCGCTATATCATTTTAAGAGGAAATGGATAGTACCAAGTAAAATGAGAGGTATAAAAAAAATCAAGCGTTATTAAAAATCTTACTGTGAAGACTCTAGACCTGGAAATATCTGTAAAATAACACCCATATTAGAAATCAGCGATATTTGTAAGTATTAGCAAATGAAAGGTATTAAAATTCCATCAAGTCAACAAAAGCATATTTAGGCGTTAACATATTTACTAATTAAAATCTATTGATAGCTTAATGACCGAATTAACATAATTTAAATGGGTAGTGCAAAAATCTGCATTGATAATTGTCAACCTTCGACACGACGATGATTTTGGAGAAAATGTGTCCTCCCAGTGTCCAACTCTACTGATATAAAACCACGTGTCTGTAGAGGCGCAAACCTATATTCACTAAGTTAACAAAAAGATCTAAATCTAAAAATCAAAGGAATGTATACTTGAAGGTTACGAAGGAAACTTTGTATATATAGCAACAAATTCTACTCACCTTTTGTTAGACTCGTCATCAAATTCAAAATATGGCAATCTGGTGGAACCACTGTCATCTGAGAACGTGACGTCGGTATTCCTGGACTCTCGCAACGGGCTATGCTGAAACCCATTCTTTTCGTAGTAGTAATCATAGCCTTGGGTGTCAGTTGTATCATCACTAAATCCGATATCTATCGTTGTCGTTTGGGGTGACTTTCGGTAACTATTGCGTATACTGTTCCGCCATTGTTTTTGGCATTGGTTAGTATGGTTGTTGTAGTGATTTGAATGATGATGATGATGAGCGTGATGATGTGTTGATGTTTGAGGGTGAGAATTTGGCGGTATTGCAGATGTTGTAGCCTAAAAAAGTGTTTATAATGTTAGCAAATTAGTATAATCATAGATTAGATTCTTATAGGGAACAAATTAATAATCGGTAAGAATATATCATTTTTTTTGTCATGTCTCTGCACAGTTATTGATATTCTTCTTCGCCTTAAGCTGGTTTTACTATGATTTGTCCATGATTTATCAGTTGCAGAAACGGGAGAATCTGGTTTGTCTCTCTGTAAATACATAACTTGAGAAGAAATGCCAAGCTATATAATAGGGGATCTTTTGTTAATGAATCGACGCAAATTATGACGTACGCTGAGTTTGAGGAACTACTTACAAGTTTGAGGTAATTAACAAATTCATATACAGGTTCAGTTATGACTGTTGATGATCGATTCCACAATGGGGAAAACCAATTGCAGGATACTGCTAGACAACAGGTAGTACAAATACAAAAAAAAAATAAACCCCGGAGTATTGAGATACATTCAGTCAAATGATCTGGACCGGCCTTAGAAATAAGATTTTTCAAAAAATCTTATAAACAATTTAAATTTCGCGAAAACAAACATGATGATAAGACCTTTAAGCTCAAGTACATTAAACAAATTTTAATAAATAATATAAAAAAAGTTGATTTTATAGTCACTAATAGAAAAATCCACTCAAAGCAAATACTAGATATTCGAACTTTAAACTCAGCAGACGCAGGGAGTGAACACAAACTACTGCGGAACGACTCTACAAGAGAAATATACCAAAGGAGGCTAGCACAGAAGATACAGCTGAAACAAATAGACGACATCGAAGATATAAACGCTAGCTGGGAGAAAATTAAAAACAACATTGAAGAAGCAGCAACAGAAGCCTAGCAAAAAGAAAAGTTATGGAACAAAAGAAACAACAACAATACAATATGATTCAGAAAAGAAATACAAGAGAAACGAAGTACAAAACATCAAATACTCCAGAATCCCGAGACACCTACAGAAGAATACGAAATGAAACAAAGCAGTTGGTAAGAAGAACAAAAAATGAACACTGGGAACAGTTTACAAAAAGAATGGAAAGTGACTTCTACGGTACACAAAAACAAATATGGAGATTCATAAGAAACCAACGGAAAGCAATGGCAGAATTTAAGGAATACAATACCATACCAACAAACGAATGGGAAAGATACTTGACGGAACTGCTTATAGGAAAGGAAAATAATAATAAACACAATAAAGTACCTGAATTAAGACACGAAATAGAAATCAATTTTCAGGACGTAGAAATAGCCATAAATTCAGTAAAAATAGAAAGTCACCATTACCAGGACATTTCAGCTCGTTGGAATATCCAACGAGCTTCTAAAACACGGAGGAGAAAGTATAACCCTAGAGATGACAAAACTTATACAAAAACTACTATTTAGTCGTAGGGAAAAACAGCATAATGATACCAATGTTCAAGAAAGGAGATAAAGAAGACTCCAACAATTGCAGTAACTAACAACTAACCAACAAAATCAATAAACCAACAACTTTATCAGATGAACAAGGAATCCGATCCGGAAGATCCTGCGTAGACGCCGTATTGTCTCTTCTAAAGAACATTTACCATGGAAAAGGAATATAATAACACGTTACCTTTCCTGGATGTTTTAATCTCTAAGAACGACACTGGATATGAAACTCAGGTGTATAGAAAACCAACACACACCAATAGATATTTAATTTCAAATCAAATCACAATATTAATGTAAAAAAGGGAATAATTAAATCCTTATACGATAGAGCCAAAATTACTTGTTCTAACGAAAATTCGTTCTTGGAGGCGAAACATTTGTTAACATCTGTTTTATTAAAAAATGATTATCCTTTATCGTTTATAAATAAGGAATTTTCAACAATCGATCGAATAGAACAGAACAACTTAGAACGAGATCCTACAGCATACACAAGGAATAATATGAGGAAAATAACAATACCGCACATAAAAGGATTATCAGAAAAACTTAAAAGGATAGGAAATAAATTCAACATTTCAACAACATTCAAAACAACAAACACGTTGAGATTTATTTTGTGCAAAACCAAACCTAACAATGAACAAGAAAGGACAAAGAATTGCATTTATAAAATACCTTGTGAATGCGATCAGTTTTATTTAGGTGAATCAAGGCCATTAAATGTTAGAATAAGTGAACATCAATCTTATATTAAAAATAGAGAATTTGATAGATCTCAAATATGTAAACACGCATGGATAATGAACATAGGGTTCAATGGAATAATTCAAATGTAGTCCTAAAAGAAACGGATGGTAAAAAAAGAAAAATCAAAGAAGCGGCTCTAATTATGCTAAATGAGGCCAATTGTGTCGCAAATTCCTCGGCAGAATGTAGTAGGATCTGGTTACCAATATTGAAAGAGGAAGTTATTAATAAGAAAATACCAGACTAGTAAGTCAGTAACATATAGAGGATACATCATTTATGTTTTTTAAATAACGTAACATATAAAATCAGAATTTTGATGTTTGTTGAAGGTAAACTAAATTCACGAACAAATACTTACAATGTCGGGATAGTATTATGAGGTTTTTTTCCTAGTTTTTCCCTCATAATTTACTATGGAATCACTAACAGGAGAATTTTACTGTCATCATGTCATGTGTTTGTCTTTTTAAAGACGAATTACATGCTATGATTTTTTTCTGACGGATATTCTTAAGTTAAAGTTGATTTCATGTAATCGAATGAACTATCTTATAAGTAAAGTCGTCCCAGGAGCGCAACTCAACAATATTGGCAATATTATTTTAAAGTCGTCTACTTTAAAATGCATAATGTATGTCTAAATTGTCAATATAAATGAGTCAGATAAAATTAAATTATTAGAAGAATTTTTCACTATGTAACAAAAAACAAAATTTGTTTAATTTACTGTTTGTATTTTGAGAACGATTTCCGAAGTGGAAATTGAAACGTCAATAAACGTATTTTTATCTTTAATTGTGGCTTATTCCCAGTTAAATAGTAATTAATTTACAATGCCACAAGAAAATAGCTTCAGAACAATATGGAAGAAGTATTGACAGGCCAAGGAAAAGATGGTGCGATAATTTAAACAATTCAGGAGGCTAATATCAAAGAATATAGACGCTTAGGTTAGGTTAGGTTAGGTTAGGTTAAGCGTCTATATTCTTTGCTAATATTGAAGAAGAAACAGACTTTAAAGCCTACATACAAGAGAATGAAGAATAAGAAGAAAAAGTTATTAACAATATTATAAAACAGTGATTTTGTTGTTTATTTTGCAGTAACTTTATTTGTTTATAATCCGATTTTAATTTAGCATATATCATTTTGTGTATTTTCTTTTTTATAAAAGTTGTCTGTTGACGTCAAATCTATATTCGTTGGTAGAATTCTATAAACAAAAAATTACCTGGTAACGAAAAAGCTTGTTTTCAAAAAGCAGCGTCATTTCATTACTACTAACTATATTTATTTTAACACTTATTCATTAAATATAGAGAAAATACCACCAAAAACAAAACACACTACACATACAGAAACATAAAAATCACTGCTGTTCCTATCAAATTATAAAATAAACTGATAGAAATAAAAATCTAATGCATACAGTCGTACAATGTATAGTCCCTTCCTACCTTCTGTCACTTAAATGCGATGCTTAACAAAATGACCTTAACCTATTATGCACTTGACAAGGGTAGACACCTGAAATAATCGTTAACAAAAGAAATGGTTGACACCTTTAACACTCAGTGAAAAAGTTTATCTTTGTATGAACTCAAGATTTACAATGGAAATTTGGCATTTTGGTCAGTGACGTTTCCGGACTTTTGCATTTACGCAAAATATTGAATTAGGCAACTCTAGATAACGTAAGGCAAGGGTCATTTTTTGAAATGCTACAAAAATACTAAGAAACGTCAAATTAGAAGGCAAAATTCGGTAAATCCCAGGCGAGTGGAATAAATTATAGAGAATCTCGTACTGAATCTCGTACTTCTCACGTGATCGTTTTGATCACTACGAAGCCTTAGGAATGTTGTTAACAGGGAACGAAAATTATGCTGAGAAGAGGATTATCAAAAAAAAAATTGCAATTAGGAAAAAATAATTTGGAGGAAAATTTAAACCAAAACGAAAAAATACGAACACAATGTTATGTTTTTATAATAGACAATCTTAAGTCGGAGATTATTCGACGATTTAATAGTTATAAATCTTATTCAAGAGCATTTGAATTTTTGTTTAAACTAAAAACTACGGAAGATGAAGATATTTTCAGATCTGCAACCGAATTACACCAAAAGTACAAGGAGGATTTGAATAAGTAATTTACCCAATAATGTGTTCATTTAAAACATTTGTTAATGTTTCTTCCCCAATTGAAAATAGACACTCCTTTAGAATTAGTACAGGTTTTATACGAAAATAACTTAATATCTTCGTTTCCAAACATTAATATTTGCATGCGTATTTTTTTTCTCCATAATGGCCAAAAGGTTAAAGACCTACTTAAGAAATGCAATTTCCCAAGAAAATTTGAACTTCTTAGCAGTACTATCCATTAACGCGGACCTGCTAAATGCATTAAATACAGGGTGTCCCAGACTAATTTACCCACGCTATATCTCCTAAACGAATAGAGATTTTCGAATGGGACAAAAAATCATCCACTAAATATTCATCCCTTATTTACAACCCCTAACTTTAATTTTTTTAATAGCACCCTGTATATTTTTTTATAATTTTGGATGTGGTCTTCTATCGTCTATTCAACATATTTATTAAAAATAAAATCGGTTTGTAAATAATCAAGAAAACAATTTATTTTTGTTAATTAAGTGTCACAGACTAAAATTATCCAGGCTATATTTCTTAACAAAATAGAGATTTTTTAAAGGGACAAAAACTGGTCTATTCCATTTGTAATATGGCGAAGAAAACATCATCCCCTAAATATTCATCTCTTAATATTGTTCTCAAGCTATTTTCTCGT